CCCCCCCAACCAATTTAGAGTCTTCAGATGTATGGAAAATAAATTATAGCCCTTATTTGGTGGGGATTAAAATTAGATTTTTAGTAGATTTTGATAAAAGTTTTTGAAATATGTGGTTGAAAAATTGTGGGACACATGAAATATGTAGTTAATATTAATTATTTTACTTTGACTTAAATTAAAATTCAATTTAAATCAATACCAAACAGAGGCATAATAAGCCCTTTTTTGTTATTTAATTTAAATCAAAGTTAACAATTAATTTTAACCATATATTTTATAGGATTTACAACTTTTCAAACCACGTATTTTCTTAACTTTTATCAAAATCTACTAAAAATCTAATTTTAATCCTCATCAAATAGATGCTAAGTGTGTTTGGCACACTTATATGTTCTCTTAAATCGTTACACCTCACTCATTTATAGTCAAAGTGAAGTAATTCAACTGGTCAAATAAAGACTTAAATTGAATAAATGATTTTCATGGGGTCTAATTTGAAATTACTAGCACTTAACGGGCTGGAAATAATATAAAATAGGAATCTAGGGGTTTAGTTTTTTTTATTATTAGAATTAAAGGGTTAAAAAGTTATATTGTAAGATAATAAGGGTGTGAACTAGCAAATTAATTGGAGGTCCCCATCATTTGGTTTTTAATCCCTTGCTTGGGCTTCATTTTTTCAAATTACAATGAAAGAAATAGTAATTTTTTGAAGAATGTATGGTTAAAAAGAAAGAATTTTATTTTTTTTAGTTTTAGGCGTAATATTATTTTATTGAAAAATGTGTGATTGATAAGAAGAGACAGAAAAATGAATTTTAATTTAATGGAAGGGGAGCTGTGCATATGGAATTTTCCAGATAGTAATTGAGAGATACACGATACAGTGGGAAAGAAGGTTAGTAAGAGAATTAAAATTCGAAGAAGAATTAGAGAAGAGATCAAAAGCAAGAAGATAGAATAGCAACGGATTTGGACTTTCATTTCTTTCAAGAAAATAGGAGGTAATGATTATTTTTGGTGCTTTTTCATCTCAAAAAATTGGAGAATAGGAAACACAAGACAAGAAGAGATGAATAGGAAAAATGAAAGAAGATAAAATGAAAAAGAAGCAAGATGATAAAGTTGTAGTTCTAATTTGAAATGGAAAAAGGAATTGAAAACCCGAAGATAAGAACAAAAAGAAAGATTGGCAAATGAGTTTACAAGTGGGTTGCAATTAGAGCTAGAAATTAAGAGTTAGCAAGAAAAATAAGTGTATAAGTGGAATAGCTTTTGCAGGGACGGAGCCAGGATATTAGTTTAGTGTGGGCGCAATTTTTATCGACACCAAACGTCAAGTTTTTTTGCCAGCAATTCACAACACAATTATATTCACAGTGCATTTCACCATTTCACAAGGCAATATATAATATTTTCAAATTTCAATAAGTCAGTGAGCAACTTACAGTTACAGAGGGCATGAAGCATCAATGAACTGAAGTGTGTCTGTCAAGTAGCAAAATCAGTTGAAGAGCAATGTTTAGGCAGTGCCACTTCAAGCAATTGGAGAGCAAAGTGCTATTTTCAAAATATTTGAAAAGAAAAAATCAAAATATTATTACAATTTACACAAATCAAAATAACATTAAGAACTGAATTTTATTGCAATTTTTTTCCTGATTAAATTCATAGAACAACATCGAGGAAATTTCACAGCTCTATCCTAAGTATTACCTAAATATATAAAATGAAACTAGAAGAGTAAATCTTAGTTTCCTACATGTCCCCAACTAGAACTATCCATTTTCTCCAAAACATAATCAATTCCCTTACCTTTTTTGGTGATTCTAGTACCGAATAAAAAAAGAAAATTTTATTTCTTCACTCTGTGGCATTAATAGCAGAAAATTTCTCCATCACAAAGTTTTAGCCATTTTCTTTCACATTAGTTGAGTAGGCGGAGCGGAGGCGACGATCGATAGAGCCAGAGGATTGGAGGAAGGGTTGAATTGAAATGAAAATTGAATTTGAATGAAATAGGGAATGGGTTGTAATTAGTGGAAAATGTGTGTATGTAATGATGGGGCTATTGGGCTTCCATTCTTGGCTGGGTTGGGCAAGAAATTAACATAATAAATAAATAAATAATGGGGCCTTGGTGGGTGAGCCCAATAGTTCAGTGCGACACTTTATTGGCCTCCACCCATGAGCTTCTATAAACACACATGGACGAAAGGAAAAGAAATACTGAACAATAATACTTGAAAATAAGTGAGATGGATGTTAGTTTACTGGAAGAGAATGGAGCATATTCTTATTTGTCTACAAATGTAAAAGGGAAAATAGATAGGAAAAGGATGATAGTCAAATAAGGAGAAAAATTAAAAGGGAAAGGATTGAAATTGTAAATTCAAAAAGGTTGGAAAGCAGTATGTAATTGTACAAGTGCAGTAGGGAAATGAACAAGGGAGAAGAATATATTCTGTAAATAAATCAGGGTCCGTAAGTAGAAATATGTTCTGCCATAGAGTTAATTAAATAATTCATCACCAACATTTATACATTATTACTGCTCACACACCAAAAAATAAAAGGTTACAAATGCTCACTTACATTTACAAAACAACCCCATCCATCACTCATTTCGTTTCCATCCGTCCACCTAGGCAAAAAAACACACGTGTAGGATGGAAATCATACGTGATATTAAATGGCGTTAAAACTTGCCAATTTGGACAAAAACTCATTCATTTAGTGGTTTTTGCCTTCAAATTGAAAGAAACACCTTTCCCATCTCAAATCAAAATTTTAATTTTCCCTATCTTTCTAGTAAAACCTAAATTGATTTTCATCCCAAATAAGCCTGGATTGATTTTCACCCCAAATTCTCCTCAATTTTTTCCTCATGGCCATGGCTGATGTTCAAATTTCTCAATCTGAAAATAACAATAATAATAAGAGAAGCAAAAGCAAAGAATCTGACCATTTCAATCTTTTGCATACACATGTTTCACTATTTTTGTGCTGATATTGGGCGAAAGATTGTATCAACATTGGTCATAAAGTTGCTTGTTATTGTGCAGCCAAGTGATTGAAGAATATGGTTTTGCCTACTGGAGGTGACTCTATGAGTGTTGGTCTTGCGGCAACTGCAGAGCTACAGTTGGTT